TTTTAATAATAATATAATGATATAATAAAGACGATTTTGTTTCAATCCATCTAAGCTGAACCCGCAGCACTTTTTTTGTATTTCCCACGGAACCTCGTTTTCTCCGTCAAATAAGAGCGCAAGAGGGAACGCACAGTTGCCCCCCTCCCCGCTGTTGACCCGACCGCATCATTAAATTCCTAAATAAATTCGTTTAGTTATTGGTATTTTCAAATTCGTATACTTCAGGTATCGCACGAAGCTTTTTAGGCCGAAAATTTTCTAATCACAGAAGCGACAAACATTTTTTTTCTTTTTTTTTGTGCGCGCATATTTCGTTCATCCGTAACCCTTCGTTCCTCCATTTCCGTCGAATGCTGCCACGCAACGCACGATCATTTCCCCCTTCACCCCTCCCCCTACGCGCTATTCCGTTTAACCCTAACAACTGTCCAACAATGTTTTTTTTTTTTTTCTTATTTATTTATTTATTTTTTTTATTTACTCTACACTTTTCCCCTACATTATCGTAATTATTACTATATTGCCCTTCGCGAGAATCCATGTACATTTGCATTGGAGTCAACGAATGAAGTTAGTGCCGTTTTCGAAAACACTAGCAGGTGTGTGTGTGTGCAATCGTCCCCTCGTATTAGCCGAACGACCGCTCGAATTGAACTAAAAGTGCATTTACGACTGATATTCAACTTGTAAAAACCCCCCCGACCCCCCGAACGCCCCTTCATTAGCACTATATAACTGTGGATTCGCAGAAAAACAAAAAAGGCCAGGCAAGGGGGGAGGAGGAGCCTGTTGATATATCTATACAAACAAAACAACACCGGTCCGAAAGTCGCCGCTTTCTTTCATCCTCAGGTCCCAAATGTACAATAATAATTGTTATCATTGTTATTATATATANATATATTTATATATACGTATATAATCAGCGCCGTTAATTTTAGTTCTATCGTTTCTCCAAAGCTCGTCCCCTGGACCTTATCGGCCGTCGTTCGAGTGCTTCTTGCTTGGGGAGGGGGTCGTCCGTGTCCCCGTGCTCCCGGCAGCCGGGACGGTCCCCTTGGGCAGCGGCATCAGTGCCTCTTCATGTGGAGCGAGAGGTGATCGCTGCGCGAGAACGAGCGCTGGCAGAGATGGCACTTGAACGGCTTCTGGCCGGTGTGCTTGCGGTAGTGCCGCGTCAGCTCGTCCGAGCGCGCGAACTTCCACGAGCAGCCCTCCCATGTGCACTGGTACGGCTTCTCGCCTGCGAACATTTGAGTTTTTTTTTTTTTTTTTTTTTTTTTTTTTTTTTTTTTTTTTTTTTTTTTTTAATCGCTCAATCATATAACCCCAGCTGTGTATTGATTATGTGCTCGCATCTAAGCACTTTTGGCGTATTATTTTCATGAGGAGTTGGCGTGTTTCGTTTTTCACCAAGGGGGACATTTCGATTTTTACTCCCGGGTGTCACGCGTACAATTTTTTTTTTCCCCTCTGAGTCGAGAAGAGCAATACTTTTGGCAGGAGTACAGAGATAAAAAAAAAAAAAAAAAAGCCAAAGAGCGGCTATTACACGTGTCTATACCCGAGACAGATGGGTATGAAGGTCAATGATCCGAGATAAATTCAACACGTGGTGTAAAGTGATTAAAAAAAATTTTTTTTTCTCCACCTAATCTAATCCAAATCTCGTACGTTTACTTAACATCCGAGCCACCGCTCTTTCGGTATACACTGATGAATATTCAAAAAAAAAAAATGTCACGAGTATCGTGCGAAACCAAAAGATAAACGATAAGGGGACCGATGGCAAAGACCAAACAGTTGAACTACGATTTGCAATGTTAATAGCGCTTCTACGCGTCCGATAAACACACGTAGCAACACGCGCCGCTCGAAAAGTCATGTATATGTATATGCCCTTTGCGCGCGATCGGCATCTCGGTGTCGGCAATTTCCCCGGTGCATGGGTCTCGTGGTATCACCTCGCCATCCCCCTCGTCTCCTCCGGCAAGTCGAAGAAAACGCGATGACGAGATCCGAAAGATATTCGCGTGTGTGCAAGCACAAGACCCCGTCCGTACACGCTTTATTGGACCAACTGGACGATCGATCGGATGGGATCGTTATGGATTTTTTTTTTTCGGTGTCGACAAATCGACCGAGATAACACCCAATGTTCGAAATTATTTCGCGATCGTCAAGCGATGCAGGGTACCGAAGTAAGGGCCGACCAAGAGGAGGAAACAAACCAGGGCACAATATACAGGGACAAAAGATTCAATTGTTGAGAAAGAGAGGAAAGGGAAATTATATTTATACATATATATGTGTATATGCACACGAGCCGATCTCACGGTAGCAGTGCCCGCGGTGGTCATCGATCCGTCCGTGTATACGTATATAAAAGTACTCGGTTGGGGGGAGGGGGGGCCGATATCATCGCAGCTGCTTCACACCCAATTATTGCGGCCTCTCTCGTGGGCGGTACAATACAAGTAGTTCGTTAGGTGATCCGGAGAGCCCAGATAAAGGATTGATATAGGGAAAGCTCTCTTTCTCGGGCTTATCGGGGCTCCTCCAGCCGGGGGCCGGATCCGGTGGACGGACAGCTGTCGTGGCTCTCGTCTCTCACTCGTCCTCCGTTCGTTTCCCTGTATATATGCATGGGGACGTGAGCGTGTGCACCTTCCCAGAGCCCCCTCCACATTGTGGGGAAAATCGGACTTTTTAACTCGTTGATGCAGTTATTGTTCTCTTTTCAAATGGAGAATTCACGATATTTTGGGGCGCGTTGCGTGGAAAACTACTAATTTCGACTTACCGATCGATCGGTATAATCGTACATCTCCACAGCGATGCACCAGAAAGATACGGGAGAGCTAAAAAAAAAAAAAAAAAAAAATACATCGGGTACCCGTATTAAGTGTAGACAAAGCGCGAGAACCGATTGATTTTCGTGCGCAATGTGTATATCCACACATACATCGGCCAGGACCTCCCTCGGACTGTCGGCGGGGCAGGAGGAGCAGCTGTCAGCGCGGATCGGCCTCGATCTCGTCAATCCGATAAAAGGCGCCGTCGCCTTGGAAGAGGGAAAAAAAAAAAAAAAAAAAACCACAAAAAAAGATCTGCTCCTGGTGTCCCTCCTCTGAAACGTATCGATCAATCGGTTGGAGGGAGACTCGCGTGTCGCTCACTTGGCGAGGCGTAATGAGAGGAGCGTGCACGAATCACGCCTCTTTCGGGACCCTGTGCCTATATGGGCAATTGTACCGAGCTCTGGTACCTTTTTTCGTGCCCGTGTGTGGGAGCGGGGTGGGGGGGGGGGAGGGATGCAAAATAAATAAATAAGTAAACACAAGAGAGAGGCTCGATTAAGCTTATCTGGGAGCGCATCGGTCTCTCCCTGAGCTGGAGGACAATGCGTCGATTGGCAGGGAAAAAGGGACCGCGACGAGGACGGACGCGCTTGTATGTGCTCGAGATCGATGGGAATCGAGCTGAATTTTCGTTTGTTGCGCAATGCCGCGGCCAAACTCGCAGGAACGCGAAACAAACGAATATGGCACGTATCGAGGGTAGAAAAAAAACACCCGATTCCCGGCGAATTTTTTTTTTTTTTTTTTTTTTCTCTCAATTTTCGCAGTGGAAGTTTTGAAATTCCAAGATTACACGAATTTGTCCCTAAAAGTGAAAATAAAAAAATCCTCTTTCTATTACCCGATTAACCATCGGTACAACGAGAAGTATGTACATTGATTGTCTTGATTTTCTGTCGACGAGTAAAAATATATTCAAAGGAATGGTACACACATGGCGCGTGTACATCTTTACAATGTATTGAGGATATAGAGTCTTGTCTATTGCTTATGCTACTAATTATAGTAATGGCACGTTATAAATGATGGAACGGGGTCCTACTGCCAGAACCAGTCGGGTGGCGTGTCCCGGACAGTTATGATCGGTCGCGTCTGCACGCACGCTCGCAGCGTCCAGCCCGTGAATTAGGTCCTGCCAAAGTGACAAATCAGGGTAATCTTGGAAGCATACGGGGGTTCTGTAGTTATTGTGTTCGTAATTCCATGTCCCATTCACCTATCCGTCGAAAAAAACAAACCGATCTTTACCTGTTGTTTAACAAACCTCGGCGAAGGGTAAAAATTTCGAGCAATAAAAAACCAAAGCGCGAAGGTTGTTCGTGGAATATACCTTTTCGCGGCGTGTATATACGCGAAAAATGGAGATGGTAAATCCAATAAATTGAAATAAAGCCTCCCTAATCCTGATCTTATCTTTAGAAATAATATTTTTGATAATCCACCCAAAGAACTAAATAGAATTGAAATTCGTTTCCACGCAAACATACCCAATGATTTGGAGGTAAATTATTCCAGTGAACACTTATCGAAAAACTTTGTACACGTAGGGACGGTATTATATTTTTACGAATACAGTGTATACCCTCGAGGTGGAGAGCGAGGCATACATTTCACACGCAAACTCGCACCTCGCGAAAAGTTGGCGACACAGGTGGCCCTACAATAACGGCGTGTGAAAATTTTCACCACGGGCTCGGGCGACAGGTGAAATTTCTGCGCGATCAAAAACACACGTACAGTTTGATTACTCATCGGGATACCCTTCGCTGTACCCTTTCGACGTCAATCGCGTCCAGGGAGCTCTTGTGAAACACCCCCACGCGAGTACAACGGCGACGATTCGCAGTATCCTCCGGCTTCAAAAGACTCGGTAAAACCAAAGTCGCCATCCATCATCGGAGCCATCACGCACGGGGCCCCATATTTACGCACTTATGTATACATACATAACACACAGATAAGCATATACAAGTCCGAGGTATATTTACCGACGCCCCTTTTTACGGCTACAAATGCAGCCACCAGTATAAAGTATAACTGGACCGCTGGCGCACACATATATATATACACACACAAGCAGTCCCACAGCGGGCGGGTGTGCACCGCGCGTTTGTTATATGTTCATCGCGACAAAGCCTCGCCGGCGGCTCTCCCTTTTTCCCTGTATGCATACACTCGTGACCTCGCGGATTTTATCTCAACGCCGGTGTAAATCACCGCGGAGAGGGAAGCGCGAATATTTATATATGTATAATACAGCGAGGGCCCCGGGAAAGCAGTCTCGAGGGGGAGCAGAAAAAAAAAAAAAAAAAAAAAAAATGAAATGAAATATACGTGTAATGCGTTTATTTAGCGAGGGAGGCTCGCCCGCGTCCTCTTCTTCGTAAAGGTCACCCTTTCTCTGCTTCTATAAATATACGCGCTCGCGCGTCGGATTTAATTGAGCTGGTGGTAAAAAGAAAAGCTTATGATTCACGGACGTCACGGAGTCGAATGAAAAACACACGTGTCGGGGATTATGCGAGTACGGGGGTGAGATGTATGTGTATGTCTACGCACCGGTGTGGGTCCTCTTGTGGGCCTTGAGGTGCGAGCTCTTGGTGTATACCTTGTCGCAGCCTGCCACGTCGCACCTGTGTACCTTGCGCCGTTTGAGGGCGTCCCCGCAGTCGTTGTCGACGCTGTTGGCGCTCCCGAGGCTGGTCCCGTTGCCGCCTACGTTCGCCCCGGCGTTGTTGGCTCTGCTGCTCAGGCCGATGCCCTGCGTCAGCGCTGGCCGTTTGTTGTGGAACACCCTGCGTTCAGCCATTCGGAAAGGGAAAATAGTGAGCATTTTTCATTTTATACAGCTTTTTTTTTTTTTTTTTTTTTTTTGTAGCTTACACTTCTTCATGGGTGGTTTTGAGCGAAAATTACGAAAATTTTAACAGTCACGTGACAGAGTTGCGAATTTTTATTCATGTACTTTAAAGTACGCGGTCCCTAGGGTGATGCCCAACTTTATTTTAAATTTTCAGTTTTTAAAGTATTAACACAAGGTTTTTCACAGGAAAACATCCTTTTTAACTCAACTTTATTAAGCACTGGCAATACGTAAATACATTTTTTATCAACAATTCTTATGAATTATTTATTCGAATTCAAGTGCAGTCTTGGGCACAGGTAATTCTTTGTCCAAAGTGTAATACACTGCTTAGGCTTAAAAACAATTTTTTAATACTACTTATAACATCATGCTTAATTAAATTTTTTTACAGCTGAAATTAATAATGAGCTATACGGTTTCAAAGAAAAAATAATGTAGAAGAAAAAAAATAGTCGAGCTTTTTGAAAAAATATTTAATGTATATATATATCTTGGGAATT